TCACCCACCCTCCCCTCCCTACCACCCCCCATCAACCCTCAGTTTGTTCTCAGTTTTTAAGAGTCTCATGCTTTGGCTCTCTCCCTCTCTAATCTCTTTTTTTTTCTTCCCCTCCCCCATGGAACTTCTGTTAAGTTTCTCAGGATCCACATAAGAGTGAAAACATATGGTATCTGTCTTTCTCTGTATCAGCTATTTTAAAGACATTCAAGGACTTCACAGAGCTCATAGTTAAAGAACTAAACTATAGTACAAGAATTGTGCCTCTCCAAGTGGAGAGTAACAATAAAAAGATACAAATTATAAAAGAGAACCAATAGAACTTCTGGAGTTGAAAAGAATAAAATGTCACCAGAGAGGCTTGAATTGATTTTCTGGGGCTGCTGTGGCAAATTACTATACACACTATGTGGCTTTAAACAACGGAAATTTCCTGTGTTATGCTGCTGTGTGAAAAGCTAGAAGTCTGAACTCAAGCTGTAGGCTGGGAAAGAGGTGGGGAATTATCCCTCTTCACCACTATCTTGCTTTCGGTATTTTTCTGGAAACCCATGGCTTCCCTTGGCTTATATCTGCAGTTCTTCTATCTCTGCCTCAGGCAGCACATGACATGGCCCTTGCCCCTCTGTCTGTGTCCAAACCTCCCTGCTCTGGTAAGGACAACAGCCTTTGCATTAGAGCCAGCCCCAATCCAGGGTTGATGATATCTGGAAAGACCTTACTTCTACTTTCACAAGTACTGGGGGTTAGAGCTCTGATACTTAATTTGGGATGGGATACAGTTAAATGCACAACAGACCTGAACAGCAGATTTGAGCAAGAGGAAGACAGAACCAGCAAATTTGAAGGTAGGAAAATTGAAATCCAGTCTGATTGACAGCAAGTTAAGAAAAATAAAAGTGGGGGGGGGGTGGATGAACAAAGCCCCAAAGACCTGTGTAATACTATCAAGCATACTAACACACTAACTAACTGAGAAAGAGAGAGTCCCAGAAAGACATAAAAGAGAGAAAGGACAGGGAGAATATGCAAAGTAATAAGAACAAAAATCTCACTGAATTTGATGAAAACATTAATCAAATATTCAAGAAGTTCAATGAACACCAAGTGGGATAAACTCACATCCCACTAAAATGGTTCAAGGCCACAGACAAAGGATTGTGAAAACAATACAAGAAAAGTGATTAATTATGTATAGAGTGTCCTCAGTAGGTTTAATGGCAAATTTTCATCAGAAACCACAGAGGCCAGAAAGCAGTGGGATATCTACTGAAAGTGCTAAAAGACAAAACCTGTGCACAAGAATTCTGTATCTATCCAGGATGTCCTTCAGCGATGGAAGAAGACATTAAGACATTCCCAGGTAAACAAAATCTGAAAGAATCCATTGCTATCACCAGCCCTACAAGAAACCCTAAGTCCTGGGGCACCTGGGTGGATCATTCCATTTCATATCTGACTCTTGATTTTGGCTTAGGTCACGATCTCATGGTTTGTGAGTTCAAGCCCTATATCGGGCTCCACATTGATAGTGTGGAGCCTGCTTAGGATTCTTTCTCTCTCTTTGCCCCTCCCCTGCTAATGCGTTATCTCTTTCTCAAAATAAATAATAAACTTACAAAAAAAAAAGAAATGCTGAGTCCTTCCATCTAAAATGCAAAGGCATTTATTTCTACATGAAGAAATAGTTACATAGGTAAATATAAAAAGTACAAATGTATAAGTGTATAAGCACATAAACTATATATAGCCTAAGTATATAAATAATAGACTTTCTTCTAATTTAAAACTGTGAAGTTAATATTATACATATATATAAATTGCATATATTATAAATACAGAAAATGTAAATATATATGTTAATGAGCACAGACTGTATAAAGAGGTAATTTGAGTGAAAATAATGGCAAAAAGAGAGGACATCAATTAGATATATTAAGAGTCAAGTCTCTGGGGCGCCTGGGTGGCGCAGTCGGTTAAGCGTCCGACTTCAGCCAGGTCACGATCTCGCGGTCCGTGAGTTCGAGCCCCGCGTCGGGCTCTGGGCTGATGGCTCAGAGCCTGGAGCCTGTTTCCGATTCTGTGTCTCCCTCTCTCTCTGCCCCTCCCCTGTTCATGCTCTGTCTCTCTCTGTCCCAAAAATAAATAAATGTTGAAAAAAAAAATTAAAAAAAAAAAAAAAAAAGAGTCAAGTCTCTAGGGGTGCCTGGGTGTTCAGACAGATGAGCGTCTGGCTCTTGATTTCAGCTCAAGTCATGATCTCAGCGTCAGGGGATCAAGCCCAGAGTCCACAATCAGTGCAGAACCTGCTTGAGACTCTCTCTCTCTCTCTCTCTCTCTCTCTGCTCCACACCCCCACTCATGCTCTCTCTCCCTCTAAAATAAGTAAGTGAAAAAAAAAAATTTAAATGGGTCAAATGTCTGTATGCCATTGAAATTAATCTGGTATGAATCCAATTAGAATGTTGGAAATTAAGACATTAGTTGTAATCTCCAGTGAAACTACTAAGTATTCCCTGAATATATAGTAAAAGAAACAACATGGGAATTTAGTTGGTACACTAGAAAATAACACAGAAGAAAGCAGGAATGGAGGAATATTAAAACAAGAAGATATAACATATACAGAAATAATGAAACAAACAATAGATTTCGATGCTACCTGATGAGTACTTAAGGGCACATGGAGTTTACATCCAATTAAGAGGCAGATATTGACAGAATGGGTAGAAAACAACAATCTCTCTCTACGCCATCTACAGGAGAGTCATGCTTTAAACCTAAGACACAAAGGCATTGAAAGTAAAAAGGATGGAAAATATATACCAAGCAAATAGTAATCAAGAGAACTAGACTGGCTTTGTGAAGACAAATAAGCTTTATGACAGTTTTTTTCTAGAGACAAAGAAGGACATGGTACAGTGACAAAGTGTCCATCCTTCAAAGAGATCATTGTAAACATTTTGCACTCAAAAGGAGAGCGTCAAAGTACATGGAACTGACAATTAAAAGGAGAAACTGATCTCTCAACAATAAAACTAGGAGACTTCAATATTGCACTTCTAATAGTGAAGAAAACCTGTTAATTCTGGTGATGCTCATGAATGGACTGTGGGGTGGGCAGAGAAGGGGCTGGGACCTATATTTTATGGTTCAGGGCATTGACATTTAGAGAGATTAAGTGGCTCACTCAGAATCACAGCACTGATGACTTATGGTTCAGAGGCAGGGGATACAGACAATTCCCTGAGGACAGAGATCTCTGATCACCTGGATAGGAGATCATGCCCTGCATACTGAAACCAAGCCCTTTCCTCACTCCCTGGCCCACATCCTTTGGCCGCAAGGTTGCTGCAGGGAGACAGCTGGCTCCCTAAGGAGGTGCTGGCCCAAGAGAATGGCCCAAAACCCAACCCAACTCCTGCCTCTCTATTTCAATCCCTGACCCAGAAAACAATGCCTTTTCCCCCTGATGGATGGGGCCTGGGGAGGTGTGAGAATGAAAAACACATCCCCATCTCCCCATCCCGTGCCCCCCAGTACTTAATGCTACTAGCTGCCTTGCTGGTGGCCAGGTGACCACCCTGAATGACCACTGGTCTGTTTGACTCCCAAATGTCTCAGAACCCAGAACATTCCAAACCAACTGCCCACAGGAAAGTTGCCCAGTGAATTAGCGTCATCTTCAACTGACCAAACCTGGGTGATGAGCAGTTGACAGTAGCTAGGAAAGGGGTCTGCTAGGTTGGTGCTGTGGAAGATAAAGTCTAGAGGCCCCAGTGTCTCCCTGATGAACAATCTGACCCACCATCTGAGCAGCCTGGATAAAGGCATGGCTAGGAGCGGGCAGGGGCTCCCTGCCTCTGAGTGTACACCTTCCCTGCTCCTTTCATCCTCACCAACATCCAGTCTCCACTGTACAAACTACCCTTACTCCTCTTGAATCTACTTACTGATTTTATACCCACACTACCTTCTTCAATGGAGTCGTCATTCATTGGGGTGTTATTTGTGGCTCGACCCTGTTGTTTGGAAAGTTGTCCATCTTGATGCTGCTGAAGCACTGCTGGGGAAAGCCAGGAGATTGTCTTGAGCACAGATGCCTTTCTTGTGAGTCCTGTGTTTGAATCACTTAGGATCCTCTCTTTTTGTAATCTGAGCCATGATCCTAGAAAATACACTAAAAAGGGAGAGAACTGTTAATATGCACCTGGAATATTCATGCATCCCTAGGTCACACTCCCATTCTCCTTGTTCACCAGTGACTGGGGAGCCAGCTGAGTCTGAGCTGGGCTTAGAAGAGGGGTATTGCGATGTGGTATGCACTTACCACCCCCAGCAGACTTGTGCCTAGGGACCTGACATTAGATGAGACCATGTAGAAAGGACAATACAGAGGACAGTGACAGAGAGCCTGGGAGCTGGTGCCTGATAACCTGTATCAGATCATACTAGAAACCACACATACTTGGGAAAGTTACCTAACCCCTCTGACCTCAGTTCCCTGTTCTGTGATATGGGACCTACTTACTAGTATTATAAAGCTTACTAGAAGAAAATCCAAATAATTCCTAAGGAAAATGATTGGGACCTCCTAAGTGCTCCATATGTGACCCGATATTACATGCCTGGAAGAACAAGCAAGAAATGTAGGAGTGGTTGCCTGCAGAGAGGAAACCTGGATGGCCACAGGGCAAGGGTGGGTGGAAGGTAACCTTTCCGCCTTAATGTGGGCATGAGGCTTTCCTGGTCATGGAGAATATCTGCCATCATCTCCTGTGATCCCCATCAGACTCCATGGAATGCACAGGGCAGGGCATTAACCCATATTTTGTAGTTCATGACACTGAAATTCAGAGATTTTAAGCAACTAGAGTGAAGAAGCTGATGACAGGACAGTCTGGGACAGGAATGTAGTTGGTTTCTAGGGACAGAGATCCCAGAGCCCCCAGAGTTCTCTAGCTCCTGTTTTCCCTCTGATCCCCAAACTCTCCTGCCGTGAAATTCCAAAGGGAGCACATGCCTGCCTCAGCCTCCACCCATAGGTTTCGATCCCTGACCCAAAAGCAACGTCACTTTCCGAAAAGGAAGTCCCTTGAAGGGTCAGGGTGTCCCCTCTATGACTCTCCTCCTGCAGCATCTTCACACATCAGCTGTCCAATGTGAGCTCCTGGGCATCTGACTAGTGGTCTACATGCCCCCATGCAGCTCAGAACGTGGGCATTTCCAAGCCCACTACCCACATGACAGCTCTCTAGTGAATGAGCTTGGTCTTCAACAACCAACCCCGGATGAACAGCACTGATTAATGAGGGCATGACTTGCTGGGCTGGTGTTTGGTGCTTTAATGGATGAAGCTGGCATGTCCCCCACTGCCTACTGACCACTAATGTGAGCAACTGTCAGAGCAGCCTGGCTGAGGGAGGGCAGGGGCTGCACTGGCTCTGAGTGTGCAACTTACCTACTTCCCTATGTGACAAAATCTCTCCAGACTCCTTGTCCTTCTCTGGCCCTGGCAGTGGAAGGGGACAGAGTCCCACGTCCTCTTAAAGGGTCCCCTCCACAGCCACAGCCTGTGACACCCACCCCAGGGCTCTCCCTGAGAGTCACTCAGATTCTCCTTCCCTCTGTCATCAAATATTTATTCCACCAACCCAATGGCACTGTCCCTTCTCACCACCCCTGGGGCAACACACAAAGTGCCACTGACCCTGTCCGCATCCACCCATTGGAACCCCACTGTGAGATCTCAATTTGCTTCCCAAATCTCCAGATTTATGCTGTATGGTTTTGGATTTTGACATCTACATCCAGGAGAGTTGACCTGTGTGCCCCCCTTTCCTGTCATGCCTACTGCTGGGGTGGCATCAATTTTCTTCTGATCCAATGAAAGCAATGTGGGCATATTCCCTCTGTATCTGTTCTCTGGAAGAGTGTGTATTTCCGTGTCTGGATGGAAATGTCTCTGGAAGAGACAGGCATTTCCATCTTCAATGTTTGTTTGAAATTAAAGGAAGCCACCTGGGCTTGAAGTGTGCTTCATGTGAAAATTTATTTCTTATATTGCCTTTTTTTAATGGCTGCTTTATCTATTGTATGTATAGTGCACACATCTTAAGTACAGCTTTATGGTTTCTTATAAACATATCTGCTGCGAATCCTAGTTCCACATACAGAATGGCTCTAGCACCCTGGCAGCCTCCTGTAGAAGGAGATAAAAATAATTGCTAACTTATTAGGTTAAGGAATGAAATCGGTTACCATGTATTTCCCAAGCATGATGATTATACATAATTAGGGCACAAAAGAGTGTGGTGGCACCCTGGGAAGGTAGTGGAACAAACTGGAGAGCTGGGAGGATCCAATTTCCACTGTGCAGGCATGGGGGCAGGGCAAAGAAGCTGGAAGACGTTTCTCAGAAGCATTTGTCTGAATCCCCTTACTTGGCAATGAGAAAGAATGAAATCTAGCCATTTATAGCAACGTGGATGGAACTGGAGGGTATTATGCTAAGTGAAATAAGTCAGGCAGAGAAAGACAGATACCATATGTTTTCACTCATATGTGGATCCTGAGAAACTTAATAGAGAACCATGGGGGGAGTGGAAGGGGGGGGGGGAAAGTTACAGAGAGGGAGGAAGGCAAACCATAAGAGACTCTTAAATACTGAGAACAAACGGAGGGTGGAGGGCGCCGGGCGCGGGGGCGCGGGGAAAGTGGGTGATGGGCAGGGAGGAGGGCACCTGTTGGGATGAGCACTGGGTGTTGTATGGAAAGCATTTTGACAATAAATTATATTTAATATAAAGAAAAGAAAAAATAAAAAAAACCCTAAAAATCTATTTTAAAAAAAGAGAGAGAAGCATTTGTCTTTCACAGAGGGAAAATCACCGCTACAGAGTGTGGTGCCCACGGTAATTCAGCTTCTGCTACCTATGCATCATGTGCTTTTGTGTGTTTTATTTTACATGAAAATGACTTCAAGGGGCGCCTGGGTGGCGCAGTCGGTTAAGCGTCCGACTTCAGCCAGGTCACGATCTCGCGGTCCGTGAGTTCGAGCCCCGCGTCGGGCTCTGGGCTGATGGCTCGGAGCCTGTTTCCGATTCTGTGTCTCCCTCTCTCTCTGCCCCTCCCCCGTTCATGCTCTGTCTCTCTCTGTCCCAAAAGTAAATAAACGTTGGGAAAAAAAAATTAAAAAAAAAATGACTTCAAGATAAAGCAGGCAAAAGATACATTTTTCTTGATGTAAAATCCTCCAGAATTAACTATAAAACATATCTCTGCAACTAAGGCAGAATCTATACAATTCACATGCTCAGAGGCTGGCACTGAGTTAGCGGGTAGCCCTTCGTCCATGACCTCCTGTCTTCTTTTTAAGCTTCTAGACACTTAGGTGCTCTGAGACCCCAGCCGACACTTGCTTAGTGCTTCCTTCACAGGTGTCAAAGCAGCAGCAAACATGGGTACCCTATTCCCTGCAGAAGCACAGAGGTGGAGGGAGGAGGGGTGCCTGGGGTGGGTGTGTGGGACCCCAAAGATTCCTCCAGTCTTGGAAGGTGACCTTGGGCCAAGACACCGCCAGGGGCCTGTTTGGGGTTCTTGGCTAAGGGGATTGTCGTTGGCTGACAGTGTTAAGTGTCCTCCAGGAGAGATTTAACCTGGGCATGTGGCTGTGCAGCCCTCAAGCGTCTGGTCCCTTGAACAGAGTATTGGAGCAGAAGAAAGGGGAGGCTCCGGACTGCAGGAGGAAAATCCCGAGTCCCACCCCTGGCCTGTGAGGAGCAGGAGGTCTGATGACACAGGGCTGGAGGGGGAGAGGTGATGATGTCCCCTCATCCACCTGTGATAGGGCCTAGCATGACACCTGCACCATCGAAGTGACACTTAGAGGGCTTCCCTTTTCTTCCTCAGTATCTTTTCTCCCCATTACATCCAAATGCCTGACATGTGCCTTTCCATTTAAAGAAGCTTATGATGAGGTAGTTAAAAAATAATAATCTTTATGGCTTAATGTGTTTCAGTGCAAAAAGGCTACAGAAGACACTACTGTCTAAGATGTAATGAAACCTTAAAAAAATAAAAATAAAAATAACACAAATGGAATTAAACCAGTTATATTTGAATTAATTTAAAAAATTGGAAAATAAAAGAAACATAAGCAATTTGCAATTCAACTCCTTACAAATTCCCTAATGGACACTGCACTGAATTTCCCTTCATTTCCATGTGTGTGTTGATTTTTACATATATATATATATATATATATATATATATATTAGAACAAAAAATTATAGAACCCCAGTTTGAGGTGATCCAGGCTGTCCACCGGGCTCCGCAGAAGCTGACAGACCCCAAGGGCTTGGGCTACTCCCAGCCTGGGCTGGAGGCTGCGGTGGCCCCTACTTGATGCCCAGGCTGCTGTGTGGTCACGGGTCTGCAGATCTGGACCTGGGGAGCTGCCCTGCTTGCATGCCAGGGAGTGCAGGGCCTCTGCCTTCACTTTCCCCAGGAGGCCTGACTTGGGCAGAGTCAGGGCCATGCACCCCTGGAAATATGGAGCAGGTATCCGTTTCCAGGAGAGATGTGCTCAGGGCATCCCTCCCCTTTCCTGCGCTGGTTGTTACCACCCTCCTGTCTCTCCCTTGCACGATCACGTGCAATATGGCCGCCACGGGGCTCCCTTCCCTTTGTTTGCCTTTCCCAAAGGGCCAAGAGAAAGTCAGGGAAGCCATGGAGATGTGGGCCCTTATTTGCCTTCTGCTTTTGCTCCCGCCCTCTCCACATTCCACATTTCCTCTTATTCTTCCACTTTATTGCCTCTCACCTTCTTCACCCACCCCCCTCTTGAGCCTGGGGGAAGAGACTTTCTGACCCCTGCCAGCTGGTGAGAAGAGAAGGATCGAGCCCATCCAGAGCACCATGCCCTTCCCCGGGGCAGGAGACCACCAGTTGCGCGGTTCCTGGAACCCCCAGTCTTCTGGGGGAGCCTCTCAGGCAGGTGGGCCCATCCATCCTCCGCCCCCACCCTGCTCCCAGTCCACCACTCAGGGTGGCTGAGCAGGATCCAGGAGTGCAGACTCAGGTGTGGACCCAAGGCGCTGCTCAGAAAGCGGGTGAGGGGGTGGCGGGAGATCTTATAGACACTGGAGATGTGAGGATGTCCTGTGCCTGGACAGGACCAGGTTCTTCAGGATGAGAATCATTCAAAGAGGGAGTGGTGAAGAGCCACAGAAGAAGGAGCTTAAGGATGGGAATGCAAGAAAGTGAAGGACATGACAGAGGAAAGAAATTAGGTGCAGGATTTTGCTCCCTTTTTCTGAGTCTTCATAATCTGCAATTAATCTTTGGCATGGACCATGGCAGCTGTGGCCCGGAAGGGGTGGCCTTGGGAAAGGACAGGGGACAGTGAGAACTCATACTCACTGCTCCTGGCAGGATAAGGGCTGATCTCAGGCCCCATTCTGACCTCAGCTCTGCACTCCTCCCTGGGGCCATGATGAGGGACTGGGTCTCTGATCTCCAATGTGCTTTTCCAGCCCTCATATTCCGTAATTGTGGCCTGGAATGAACGCTGGTGTCATCTTGTCCTTCTTAGAAGGCAGCCGCTGTCTCCATGCATTTCTGTGCGTGACGTTGCCTTCCTCAGTACTCACAACCTGCTGCTTCCCTTCTATCTCCCGTGATCAGTGTCCTTTCCCTTCTCCTGTCACCTCCACCGACCAGACTGTTGTGTCATATGGGTGGAGGGGGGGAATGATCACCGATATACAGCCAGCCTCCCTAACCAATCAGTTGATCAAGTAACCAATGCAGCCAACCCCCCTGGGATACCTGCCACAGGCCTGGGGTTGTGCTGGGCCCTGTCAGAGGGAATGGCAACCACTGCCACACACAGAGTGTCTGTCCTGTGCCTGGGGCGACCTTAGGTACTTGGAGATACTTAATCCTCAGAACAACCCTGTACCTTTCCTAGCCCCTAAGAGGATAAACATGAAATTAAAAGTACTTGGTCCAAATTCCCCTAATCCACAAGCAGCATGATAGGGGTTCTATAGTAGGTAAAGCCACATGAACACTGTACCTGCCAGCCTTTGCCTGAGCCCTGGAAAGACTGGGGGGAGACCCCGGGCAGGCCTGAACGGAGGTCACAGGATGGGTCAGGACCGTGTGGCTGGAGCCGCAGGTTGTGACAGGGGCAGGGACTCCTGTCTGCTGCTCGGAGTCTCTGGGCCTGGTCAGTCCCAGGGGAGAGTTCAGTGGGGCCGTTAGAGCCAGTGTGTGTGGCCAGCCCAGCAGCCGTCACACAGGCTTCTAGAATTCCCGCCAACCAGGGAGGGTCTCAGGGCAGCTGCACACAGGCCTCTCTCACATGGACTCACATGTGCAGGATTTATTCTGATCCTGAGAGAAATGTGCTCCAGGGTGCACCTCCCACCTCACTTCTGCAGGAGGCTGAGAGGGTACATTTTCTGTGATGCCCACTCCGGGAGCATCCTTTCACCCAGGGGCAAGGCTGAGGGTGTCCCATGCAGGTGCTGGTCTGAGACCTGAAGGTGCAGAGAGAGAGGGTCCCCACATCCCCAGCCTCCGGCTCACATGGTAGCACTTGGTCTCCAGGTCAAGTGTGTGACAGTGTGTCTCCCCAGACTTCTTCTGTCACAGGTCATACCAAACCCAATGTAGTAACTTCCCTGTTCAGTTTGCAAAATGTGCAAACCAAATGTAATTGAGGCTTTGATGCTCGGTGGAGAAGCAGAAAAGAGCTGGTCTTGGGGGAAAGATAATCTTGAAGAGCAAAACACACTTGAAGCCCATACACATAGTATCTCCTACTGTTATGATGCTGACACATGAAAAACAAAACAAAACAAACCTTCACATATATTTCCTCCTTCTCTCGGATTTCATACCCCATTCCTCAGTCTCCAAAGCAGCAGGGATATTCAACTGCTTGAATGTTTAACTGCATTTACTTTAATTAACTTAAGCATAAGCAGGCACATCTGATCAGTGGCTGCTCCCCTGGATAGCGCAGTTAGGGACACTGGTGTATGGATTTCTGTAGAATATTGTCACGGTGATGCACGACATTATGCATTTGTGAAAATTTATAGAATGTCAAAGCACAAAGAGTGAATTTCAATGGAAGCTGTGGACTTTAATTTAATGAAAATGTGCCATTATGATTTTGCTAGTTATACCAAAGGTACTACACTCGTGTTAGATGTTATCAGCTGGGGAAACTGGAGGGGTAGAATATGGGAACTTTCTACATTATCTGTTCAACTCTTACATTCATCTAAACCTCCTGTTCTAAATAATGCCTATTAAGGTTCTTAAAAATCTGTAAACACTGTTTTAGGAAGAGATCTGTTAGAGCCAATGTTCACAAATCAGCTAAAGGTCTATACAACAGCTAGAGATGTTGTTTAGTGTAAAACGTGTGCCCAATCTTGAGTTAGAAATGTATCTTGACTTCTATACAGTTACAGCACAACTGATTGCCTTGATCATCCCCCTTTGCATACAGAAGAATATGGTTTAAATTTTTATGGTTTTCTATTAAATATGGGCCACTGACTAAAGTAGAATCCTTCTTCTTGAATGAACTTAATGAGTGAATTTCCACAATACCTCAATGGGGTCATTTATAGAGTACCCCCTGTTGTTTGCCAGATGTGGAGTTTTCTGAAGCACTGCCTGGTGCCAGTTGATATTCTTGACCTCAGGGGAACATTTCTTCTTCTTCATCCTTGAAACAAGATCCTGGGAAATGCATTGCAATAGAGAGAACTGCTGACACCTTGCTGTAGAAGTCCATAGGGAAATTAGTGATAATGTATTCACAATCAATCTTTTGATTCCATTATTCGCCAGCTGACCAGCAGAGCCTTGTGAAGCCAAGTTGGACTTCTAGAGATCTTGCAACTGGGTGTACACTTCGAACACCCAACAGACAGGTTTTGTGAGCAAATAGTTTTATTTCCCTGAGGCATTATAGAAGCACAGCAAGTACATAGTCCATGACTGAAGGCCTGGGTCAAAACTCTGCTTAGAAGCTCCATGTACCTGAGAAAGTTGTATAGACCCCTCTGTGACTTGTTTCTCTGTTCTGAGATATTGAAATGTTAATAGGGCCTAATTTTTAGTATTAAGTTGTGAGCTCAAAATGATTAAACACAAGTAAAGTCTTCAGAAAAATAAGTGGCTGGTGTTTCATAACTACCCTAGATGTTCAATCACTAAATAAGGTAGACACTTGGTAGTGGTTGAATCCAGAGAGGTGTTGTGGATGGCTCCACAACAGGGGAGGATATAAGCTTCCTGTTAGCCTTTATATGGAGAGATGCTTACAGCTCAAAGAGAATATCTGTGATCTCCTGTGGTTTCTGTGTCAGCCCTGTTGAGGTGGGAGGCGGCAGAGCAGGGCCTATCATCTGTATTTTACAGTGGGGGCATTCAGATTTAGAGAGAAAAAGTGACTCACCAAAAGTCACTAAACTGTTTAGTTGGGTGTTCAAGACAGAAATTTAGCTGGTTCCCTGGAGAGAGAGATCACTGAACACCTGAAATCATGCCCTGCACCCCTAACCAGGGGCCCCTCAGTCTCTTCCTCAAATCCTCCTGCCCCATTTTCTGTGAAGGAGACAGTTGATGCCTTGGAGGAGGTGCCTGAGCCAAGAGAAAAACCCAGATCCTAACTCAGTTTCCCATCTCTAGGTTTCAATCCTGGACCCAAAACACGATGCAGTTGCCCCCAAGTGAAGCCCCTCTGAAGGATGAGGGGAAGCCCAATGTGGGCCATCCTTCCCCGGCATCTTCACACAATCAGCCATCTCACATGGTGCCTTCCAGGTGACCAGTTGAACACCCTCACTGAGCAGGGTTGTTTGGCTCCCAAGCTGACTCAGAAGCCAAGACATTCCAAACCAATGGTCACATGATGGCTCTACTAAGAATTAGCTTCCCTTCAACTGACCAGCTCTGGATGAGCAGGTATTGTGAAGTAATTGGGAGAGTGGCCACCTGGGCTAGTGCTTTGGTGGCTTCATAAATTGTCTGTGGCCTTCCATGTCTCACTGGCTATTGATTGAAGTGTCTAAGCTGCATGGACTAAGCCTAGACTTGGCTGAGAATGAACACAGGGCTGTTCTGGCTCTGAGTATCCACTTTCCCTGCTCCTTCCTTCATCCCCCAGATCCAGTTTCTACAGACTCGTTATCCTTTTGATGAGTCTAGACCCCTTTGTGGCAGGGGACAGAGCCTTATCTCCTCTGGGAGTGCCTTCCCCATAACCACATCTTGGAGACCCCCTCCCCAGGACACTACTTGAGGATCACCAGACATATTTTCCTACTTTCTTTTTCTTTCAGGTAGCATCTATACTGATAATTTCCAATCTTTCTGACCTAGGATGGCCTCGATTCAATTTTAAAATCTCTAGCCCACACCATCTCGACTTTCTTACTCAGCAGTTCCACATGGTTGTTTCAGAACTTGGTCTCAATGTTTCCAAAGCTGAACACCAAGACCACAGAACTTCTGGAACCAGATGCTTGCTGGAGAAGTCTAGGGAGTTGAAGGGAATGGGAAAGTTATGCATTTCCAGAACCACCCAAATCAGGAAAATACCAGTGTAAGGAGTACTTGAGCTAGAAGCAGACTTCAGTGGGTCCCCAGCAGGGTGGGCCCAGCACTCTTGACTTAGCCCAGCTCCCTACCTGAACCATTCAGTGTTTTTTGACACTACTCAGTGTTGCTGTGGATACAAATAAAGACGAAACAAATGATAATAAGTACAGGTGATTTCTTCAAAATTTGCTAGAGCAAGGGAGTCAGCCACTATCCCTTGCCTTTGGGCAGACTCAGAGATGGACAGAAGTTAGAGAAACTTTGTAGAGACAGAATAATACAAGGCCTCAGTGATGCAGGAGACTATTGGCGTAAGGAAGCTATGGTGAGTGTTCTAGAAGAAGGGCATCCTATATCATTGTTAGGGGTGCATCTGTGGTTTTATCTGCTGGTCTTAAGTTGCAAGTGAGGACAAAATTCAGGGATACTCGCAGTGGCAAATCAAGTCTTGGCCATTTGGGGCCAGTCAATTCAATACAGAGGTTATTATTTAGCTTCCGGGGCTGTTTGCTCGAGAGAGCGGTCTGACACCTACACGTCTGACTTCTAGGTAATATGCCAAAACTGAAGAAAGTGGGTTGATTTCCTGGGCTGGTTGCTGCAGACCTCATGTCAGAGTCCTATTTTTATATATGGCCAGGCCACTGTTCTTTTGTATCTTCCATTCTCAGTCCCCCATTTTGGTTATGATCTCACTTTTGAGAGGTTGGCCCATTCAGAGAAAACCTGAGATCCCATACTTTGCTGCTGGACACTGTCAGCCATCTTCATAGTTAACTGTCTTGGAGGATGACCTTCATGACCAGTTTGTTCTCATCACAGCAGTCACCTGATGCGAGATCATTTTACATAAATGCATTTAAGACTCCAGATAGAATGCAATGGACCAGCAACATGACTGCTACGAAACAAAGAAACAAACAAGCAAGAACAAATAACAGTCCATGTTAGGGCCAAAATCATAACCTCTATGAAACAAACAAACAAAAAAACTAGAACAATTAATACTCCATGTTAGGTGCTTCAAAACCAGGAACTCCTATGGCCTAACCCAGGCCAAGAGAACAAATCCCATAAGCCCCGAGGGTCAGCCTTGAATCCAAACAGCTTTTTCTCAAGCACTTTATACCCTATTTTGCCTACCTGACTTTATTGGTCCAAGCACAAAAAGTGTTAGCAATGGCACAGATGCCACCATGACTAGCCAACAAGAAATCTAGGGCAACGTCACGTTGGCATACTACTCATGCCAACTGGTTGAGACTGGTGTGTATTCCAAACAGGGCATAGATTTTATTATCTAAATTTTGCCAAAATTCAAGATAGGTTTCTTTTTTAAATGTTTATTTATTTTTGAGGAAAGAGACAGAGCACGTGAGAGTGGGGGAGTGCAGAGATACAGGGGGACAGAGGATCTGAAGCAGGCTTCACGCTGTCAGCAATGATCCTGACACAGGGTTTGAACTCACAAACCATGAGATCATGACCTGAGCCAAAGTTGACACTTTACTGACTCAAGCACTCAGACGCCCTTTAGAGGCAGGTTTCTTACAGGTATGTTTTTGTTTGTTTGTTTTTAAGTAGACTTCACCCCCATCATGGAACCCAGCATGGGGCTTAAACTCACGACCCTGAGATCAAGGTCTGAGCTGAGATCAAGACTTGGACATTTAACTGACTGAACCACCCAGGTGCCCCTATAGACATCCATGCAATTTCCACCAAAGGGAGCATTGTCCTAATATTTTTCATAAGAACTAATTCCTCCAGTAGTGCACATATAATAATGACAATTGAAATATTGAAAAACTGAAATATTAAAAAATATGAGAAATGAAATGTGGCCTCATTTTGGAGCTCATATATGAGTTGGAATTTAAACCCTTGGTGATTCATTTCATTTGATGAAACCCATATTTCCCAGAAGTATTTACCATGGGGTCTGATGATGGATGGCATATCCAGCATTCAGGAAGACTGAGGGTGATGGCAACTGTTTGGGTCTCTTCTGGCCAACAATGTTTATAACTAGCATAAGGATTATAGTAAGAAAAAAGGAGGGGCGCCTGACTGACTCAGTCAGTAGAACACATGACTCTTGATCTTAGGGTTGCAAGTTCGAGCCCCACGTTGGGTGGAGATATTACTTTAAAAGAAAATCTTTTTTTTTTTAATTTTTTTTTTTAAATGGGCTGGGGGCCCACAGAGAGAGACAGAGCATGAACGGGGGAGGGTCAGAGAGAGAGGGAGACACAGAATTTGAAACAGGCTCCAGGCTCTGAGCTGTCAGCACAGAGCCCAACGTGGGGCTCCAACTCACGGACCGCAAGATCATGACCTGAGCTGAAGTCGGACGCTTAGCCGACTGAGCCACCCAGGCGCCCCGAAAAAAGAAAATCTTTTAAAAAAGAGAAAGAGAAAAGGAGTAAAGGGGTAATGATGGGTGGATGTCAACAAAGAATTTATGGAAAATGAGCAGAATTGTTTTAACTAAGCAGATGCAAAACAGAAAAAGAATTAGATGGGAGGTTTTGCCCAACATCTTGGGTGGAAGCTGCTCACTATCCACCACCATTTGCCTGATTTTAAAAAATATTTTACGTTTATTTATTTATTTTGAGAAAGAGAGAGAGATCATGGGAGGGACAGAGAGAAAGGAACAAAGATAATTCCAAGGAGGCTCTGCACTGTCCGCACAGAACCTGATGTAGGGTTCAAACCCACAGACCTGTGAGATCATCACCTGAAAACAAGACTCAGACGCTTACAAAACCAAGTCATCTGGGCATCCCCATTTGTCTGTTCTGAAAACCTTGGGTCAGCTGTCTGCTTACAGAAGATCTCCAAGAAACCTGTTTGAGGTCTCCCAGTTTGAATAGCCTTCTAATTCTGAATATACAAATATATATGCATATTTAATTACACACACACACACACACACACACACACACACACACACACACAGATACACATACACATGGTGAAATATGATGCCAAGGGTGAATCCCAGGAGTTTCACTGCTTTATTTAATTTAAACAGTACCTGATTGGGGCCCATTCCAATGACGTGTAAGAGCAGTTTTGCTCTGATGTCTGTTCCCACAGAAAAATCTCCAGTTGAAGATCATGAAGAAGCTTCTAGGAAGATGTTGAAGGAAGGCAGCCTTAAGCTGTTGGTGAAAAACTTGGGTATGAGTACAAGAGTTCTTTGCAATCTTTTGCCTTGTCTGTATGCAGTAGGGCAGTCTCATCTGGGTGGTGAAGTTCGCAGATACATGGGTCTTCCAGCTACTAAGGTATAGTGGGTTATCCAGTGTGTTCCCAAGGGAAGTGACTGGGTAGCCATAACTGCTTGTGTGTATTTGCACCAAGGGAGCTCACAGGTTTCTGAGAGTTTTTGCTAATCTTAACGGAAGGATGGAAGTGTTTCCCCCTCTTTAAATAGCTTATGTCTGAAATAATGAACTGTGTCTGGCAAAAATGTAATTTCTTTGGAAACTCAATTATTTCTCTCTTGCTAAGGTTGAGAGCAAGTAAATGGAAGCCCTTTTATAGGATTTTTTTTTTTGTGGGAGATCATTTACATATTGTATGAGAACTGAATTACAAGGGAAACTTAGGTTTTTTTTAAGTGTTGGTGGAGCACATGGGAAAAGTACATGGGGCATCGAAGTTCCTGGGCCATGGCCCTCCACTATGCTACTGTTCTTTCCAGGAGAGAGCAAAAAGTATTGACTCTCCTGGTCTAGAGAGACATTGAAAAAGGCAGAGCAAAGATCCATGATGCTGAAGCAAGTAGCTTTGAAGAATTGACAACAGGATGGTATTTGGGTTAGGTACTCCAGGGAAGAAAGAAATAACAATTTTGTTGATGACCCTGAGATCATGAACAAATCAGTATCCTCATTCATTTGGTGTCTTTACTGGCATAACAGGGATATTACAAACACTAGTAGAGGGTGTAGGAGGACTTTCAGATAAAAGGCTTTAAACTGCAAGTTTGATCCTTTTTTTTTTTTTTTTTTTTTTTTTTCTGGCTTGAAGGGATATTGGGGAAGTTCAAGTAGTGGTTTGGTAGGCTCTACCTAAACTTTTATAGGTTCTGATCCAATTGTTATGCCTATGTCAGTGGGATTTTTAGCACATGGAGTGTCAGGTACAGCAACAATATCCTTATCTAAGGTATGCCTTACATATCATGGAAGAGGCAAAGGTACATCCAGAGCAGATACAACTTGATTATACACAGACGTGTAGGATCTCAAGAAATTGTCCTTGTGGTGTGCCTTCAATATTACAATTCCACGTGCAGTCTCTCCCTATTAAATCTGCCTGGGTGGAATCCTAGAGAAGCGGAGGTTAATTTTTTCAGCTAAGGGGTCTCAGGTTGTGGTTAAGGGTAGGGAGACAAGGAAAATATTTGGGTTATTTGAGGCCAATCACACGCATAGCATGTTTACTCCAAGGAAGAGGATAAGCAGCAATGGCAGCATTTAACATCCAAATAGTAGCACCCTTATCTGCTAGGTATTGATGAAGATGATCCTGTCTATTTGTATTTAAGTCTTGCATGCTTAAGCATGTAGCAAGATTGTGAAAGCTTCTTTTCCTTGGAACACCCTCACTTATCTGATTGGAGGGATGTTTCTTGGGTCTTGGTTTCCTTTCAGCACAAGGGACCATCTAATTCCCAGTGCTGAATCTGTTGACAATATCTACAAATGTCCTTCTCCATAGGTAGTTGGTTTAGGGAGTGGGCCACCTAACTGTGTCACCTGCATGGCCACCACTTCTCCTTGTCTTGTTTTTGTTGTAAAGCCCTTTCTAAATGTTCTCCCAGGTCACTGTCGTTCAGCTAAAGGGGTTCTTTTACCTTTTAATTTATGTTATGAAGTTAGGTCTCCAATTTCAGGTGTAACTCCATTGACAGAATGAGATGAAAGGGTTACTGTTACAACAGCACCTTTTTAAACTCATGAATGAGAATGAAAAATATTTCCTAAAAATACCTGAATTGGTATTTGGTATTTGGCTTTTTCATAACCATCACCACCCCTTTTTTGACCCTTTAGTTTATGGTAGAAAAGAGGGTCTTGTAGGTGTCTTTCTAGGTCTGTCCAATCAGCTTTTTCCGTTCAAGATTTATCATCTGAGAGCCCAACCAATATGTGTACTGCTTGATATATGTCCGTTAATCCTGGGTCATATATGCACCTAAAAGAATTCTAAATGCTTCTATGAATATTTGCTGGTCCTCTTTGGGTTAGAAACATTTTGAAGTATAAGCTCTTACAGAAGTTCAGTTTTAAGATTTACACGGTGTGCTGTTGCCTTCACACCTTGCTATGGGAGGGACAGATCTTTAGAGGCCAGGGGCACTTTGGTGTTTTAGGTGAATTTGGAGGGCAAAGTGAGGGATCTATAGAAGGGGAGGGACAGGGAGCAGGTGCAGGAGAGAGACCAGATGCATAAGAGGAGAAGCAGATACAGGGACACAACTGGGGCATGAGGAGGGGAGGATTTATTAAAGAGGTTTTTCTACTTTATTCTTGTTTAGGTGTGTCAAATTGTTCATTAGTTTTGTCCAAACAATCTTTCAGTGAGACCATTTTTGATTCAGAATTTCCTTTGGAGGTCTCAACATAGCAACCAAAAGGTATTGCCAATTAGGGTCCTTCCTTTTTCTAAGATGCTTCTCAAATGAATGATTTTGTTCAAATCAGCTAGTCCAGAGTTGGCCATGGAGATCCAAATCATCATCGGTGAAGTCGTGGGGAAGAAGAATTAAGATTATAATGAGGAGTGCCTGGGTGGCTCAGTCGGTTAAGCGTCCAACTCTGGATTTGGGCTCAGATCATGATCTCACAGTAAGTGAGTTCGAGCACCACATCAGGCTCTGTGATGACAGCACAGAGCTTACTTGGGATTCTCTCTCTCTGCCCCATTCCTCCCTGCCCCTCCCCCACTGACCATCTCTTTCAAAACTATATAATCATTTTTTTAAAAGATTGTAATGAAGTATATGTGAAAAGCAGTAATTTTTTTTTTTTTTCTGGCAGGGGAGAGGGTTTAGGTTTAGAGGATCCCAAAAGAGCTGGTGACACTGGTTAGAAATAGAACATTTGTGGACCTCATGCCTTGGGCCCCCAAAGTGACAGTTGGCCAACTGCCTGAACACAGACCCAACAATCTGTACTCCCCAGCCTGTGGGAAACCAGAGGGAATACTCTCAGGACACAACAATCAAGGTGGTGAGAGAACCTCAGCTGGCTTGATTGGTGACTTTCAGCACAGTTCATCCGGGTTGATACCAGTCTGGTGAGATCATCAAAGTCACGGTTCTGTGAGGCTGGCTCAAAGGGTCTAGACTCACAAGGGCCTGTTTGTGGCTCTATGCTCAGATTCTTCTTATAACACACAACACTTTTACACAGCACAGCACAAAATAGTAACACAAAAGACAGCATGAGGGGACAACAAGGGGCCAGATTCCACCAAGGAGACCAAACAAACGGGAACCAAGAATAAGACCCAGGCACCAGAATGAGTGTCAATAGCCTAGAAACTCACTCCAACAGAGCAAATTTCAGACGCAGTGTTCACTCACCATGGCATCAGGGACTCGACAAGCTGCAAGCAGCAAGGCACAAGGGGCTTCTGTGGGCACCACACTTGCTTGAAGGTTGGGGTCTTGCAGCAACAGGCAGCTCAGACTGGGTCTCAGTGGGGCCTCTGTGATGAACTGCCCAATAAACAAAGGCCAACCAAATGAGCACAAGCAAAGAATATTTGTCAGAGCTTGCTAGAACAAGGGAGTCAGCCACCATTACTTGTGTTTTGGCAGAGATTCAACATCATGGAGGAGACTGGGAATTCATTTGAGTGGGGCAAAGTGAAGGCTTTAGCTATGTGCTAATGGGAGGCTATTAGCATGGGGAGCCTATAGTGAGCTGTCAAGAAGCGAGGTATCCTATGTGAATCTTAGGGGTACGTATTTGTCTTTTCTCTGGTTCATTGGCCCTCTGTTGGAAATGGGGACCAAAATTCAGGAATGTCTCTGTTATAAATATGGCCATTTGGAGCCAATTGTTACAAGGTTGTGGTGTACAGTCCCGAGCAAGTTGCTAGATACAGCAGCCAGATTTCCTACAAGTCTGACTTATATATAGTAGACCTGCTTCCTCAGCAGAAAACAAGATAATGGGTCAGTTCCTGAATTAGTTGTGGGTCAGAAACCTATTTTTACATATGTTCTGGCTATGGCCCAGTGGTGTATTCAACCTTTGGTGTGGATGTGGGGGAGGGGGTCAGAAACCAGGGAAATGCTAGGGAAGTTGTTGAGCACGGCTGAAGGCAGAGGATATAGATTTGAAGATCCAAGGACATCAAGTGCCTAGATGGGACCGGTCCTTCAGGATGAGAGTCACAAAATGTGGGAAAAAGGAAATTAGTCAAAGCTACATAAAGGAGCTGAACAAGAAGAAAGAGTGAGGGTAAAACAGATGAAATAGAAAAAAAAAAAAGTACCTACCTATTGTTGATCTATGTATCAGAATCTTCCAAATCACCAGAGACGTCTTCCTTGTGTACAAGGACAGGAATGGGGATGGGTTGTCCTTGGGTAAGGAAAGGGGACAGTCAGGGTGAGGTGAGAACTTGAGCTGGTGCTCCTGGGATTAGGTTGCTGACCCCAGACCTCAATTCTGTCCTCAGCACTGCAGTCCCCTCCCCCCTCCCCCTGCCCCTCCTGGGGCCATGATCCCTTCTTCTCTGTGATGGGGAAGTTTTCTAGGATCTTTGGGCCCTTCTCAGCTCTCAGACTCCATACCTGGGACCAGGGAGCAATGCCTATCACCCTGTTCCTCCAGGAAGCAGTCACTGTCCCCATGACTTTTATGCATGGCATTCCTTGCCTCCCACCTCCTTCCACTTCCTCCCTGTCTTCCTTCTTCTTCTTTCTCCTACTCATTTATTTCTCATTTCCCTTCTCCTTGTCACCTCCTACAGCCAGATTGTCCTGTAATAAGGGAACAGTGGAGAAACAATCATGGGTTTACTGTCACCTTCCCTAATCAATCAATCAGTTGATCAATTAACCAATCCAGCCAACACAAGAGCACCTGCCATGGGCCCGGGGTTGCTCTGGGCCCTGCCAGAGTGACCACTAACTCAGCATATCAAGTGACTGTCCTGTGCCTGAGGGATCTTAGGTACTTGAGACACACTTATGCTTCATAACAGCTCCTAAGTTTTCAAGCCCATTGTGGGGATAAACATGAGAGTAGAGGTAAAGTAACTTGTCTAATTTCCTACAGTCTAAATTTCCTATAGTCTGAAAATGGGATGATGGAATTTCTAAAGCAGGTGTGGCCACATAAACATCGGTGCCTGCCTGCATTTAGCCCAAAACTGAAAGGACTGGGGTGAAGCCCCAGGCAGGCCTGAAGGAAGGTCACAGGGTGGACCATGACCATGGTGTTGGGAGCAAGTCCATCACTGTGTGGCTGGAGCAGCAGGTACTGGCAAGGGCAGAGACCCTGGCCCCACTTCAGGGAGCACCTGTCCTGGGCCTGGTCAGTCCCAGGAGACATCTCAGTGGGGCTGCAAGAGCCAGTGTGTGCATCCAGCCCAGCAGCCTTCACACAGGCTTCTAGAATTCCCCCAACCAGGGAGGGTCTCAGGGCACCTGCACACAGGCCTCTGTCACATGGAGGCAAGTGCAGGATTCATTCTGGTCCTGGGACTGGGATTTGGGTGAGGAGAGGAGGAGAGAAATGTGATCCCGGGGTTGCCTCCCACCTCAATTCTGCCAAAGGTCCCGGGACAACTTGCAGGAAGCTGAGAGTGAACATCCTCTGTGATGCCCACCCCAGAAGTGCCCTTTCGCCCAGGGGTAAACCTGAGGGTGTCCCATGCAGGTGTTGCTCTGTGACCTGAAGGTGCAAAGGGAGAGGGTCCCAGCTCCCCAGCACCTGACTCACAAGGAGGCACTTTGTGTCCAGTTCGAGTGTGTGTGACAGAGTGTGTCTCATGAAATGGCCTCAATATTAGGTCAATGCCAACAACCCAAACCAAAATCTCTCATGCTCTATTCCCAAGAGATTCTAATCAAACATAACCAAAGACTTTGATGCTTGGCAATGGCAAAGGTACCCTGAACTGGTCTTCTGGGAAAGATCATCTTAAATACCAAACAACAAAAAAAATGATTACACCACTGTTGTTCAATGACAGCAGTGAGACAATAGAAAGAAATAAAAGGCTTACACATTGGCAAGGAAGAAGTCAAACTTTCACTCTTCGCAGACAACATGATACTCTATGTGAAAACCCAAAAGACTCCACCAAATGAGAGACCTGGGAAGATGGTGGTGTAGGAGGATGCTGGGCACACCTCATCCTACTGATCACTTAGATTCCACCCACATCTGCCTAAATAACCCAGAAAACCACCAGAAGACTAGCAGAATGGTCTCTTCATAGACAAGAGGCCCACGGAAGAGGGTAGGAAGGGCGGAGAGGTGGTGCGTGCTACACAGACTGGTGGGGGGGGGGGAGCCGGGGTGGGGGAGGGGCAGCTCACCTGGCAAGGCACAGCCCCCAGGGTCTGGCTTGCAAAGGTGGAGGGGCCGGACTCCATGAGTTCTGACAGCCAGCAGGACTGAACATCTGGAATGTTAAAGGTGAACAGCTCTGCTCTTGTAGAGTGGGGAGGGCAAGAGGACGCCAGGAGGAAGAGTTGTTGAGCCCTGGAAGACAGAGCTCAGCTCAGCGGGGAAACAAAGGCACTGGCAAGTGCTATTTCCCTCTCCCATCCCCCAGCCGAAATTCCAAAGGGAGCCAGTTCCCGTCACCGAACTTGCTTGCACTGCACAAATGCCCAAGGCTGTGCTTCTGAGGATCCATCCTTCTGACAGGCCTGCCTCCCTCCAGGTGTTGCAGGGCCCCTCCAGCAGGGGAAGACCGAGGGCAAAGTGACCTAAGCCTGCCCCTCCTACCCCTGTGCACCTTGCGGATCCACCCCAGCTAATATGCCCTTGGCCAGATCCCATCGAAGCAGCACCACAAGCCTGGCAGTATGCAAGTAGCCCAGACAAGTAACCCACACTACTCCACAGTGAGTCCTGCCCCTGGGAGAGGGGAAACTAAGGTACACAACAGTCTGACTGTGGCCCCAGTGGTGGGCTGGGGGAAGACATCAGGTCTAACTGGGGCCCCACCCACCAACACAAGTGACTCCGGACAGCACAGGGGAAGTGCCTTGCAGTTTGGAGCTATCTCAGGGACTACCCAAAATGACGAAACGGAAGAATTCTCCTCAAAAGAGACTCCAGGAAGTAGCGACAGCTAACAAATGGATCAAAAATGATTTAAGCAATATAATGGAACAAGAATTTCGAATAATAGTCATAAAATTAATTGCTGGGCTTGAAAAAAGCATAGAGGACAGCAGAGAATCTATTGCTACAGAGATCAAAGGACTAAGAAATAGTAATGATGAAATTAAAATGCTATGAATGAGGTGCAAAATAAAATGGAGGCGGCCATTGCACGGACTGAAGAGGCAGAGGAAAGAATAGTGAATTAGAAGATAAAACTATGGAAAAAGAGGAAGCTGAGAAAAAGAGAGAGAAAAAAATCCAGGAGTACGAGGAGAGAATTAGAGAACTAAGGGATGCAATCAAACGGAACAATATCCGTATCATAGGAATTCCAGAAGAAGAAGAAAAGAGAGAAAGGGGCTGAAGGTGTACTCGAACAAATCATAGCTGAGAACTTCCCTGATCTGGAGAAGGAAAAAGGCATTGAAATCCAAGAAGCACAGAGAACTCCCTTCAGACATAACTTGAATCGCTCTTCTGCATGACATATCATAGTGAAACTGGCAAAATACAAGGATAAAGAGAAATTTCTGAAAGCAGCTAGGGATAAACAGGCTCTAACTTACAAAGGTAGACACATAAGAATAGACCTATCTACTGAATACATAAGTAGACCTATCTACTGAAACTTGGCAGGCCAGAAAGGAGTGGCAGGAAATCTTCAATGTGATGAACAGAAAAAATATGCAGCCAAGAATCCTTTACCCAGCAAGTCTGTCATTCAGAATAGAAGGAGAGATAAAGGTCTTCCCAAACAAACAAAAACTGAAAGAATTCATCAGCGCTAAACCAGCTCTACAAGAGATCCTAAGGGGGATTCTGTGAGTGAAATGTTGCAAGGACCACAAAGTACCAGACACATCACTACAAGCATGAAACCTACAGACATCACAATGACTCTAAACCCATGTCTTTCAATAATAACACTGAATGTAAATGGACTAGATGCTCCAACCAAAAGACATAGGGTATCAGAATGGATAAAAAAATGAGACCCATATATTTTCTGTCTACAAGAGACTCATTTTAGACCTGAGGACACCTTCAGATTGAAAGTGAGGGGATGGAGAACTATCTATCATGCTACTGGAAGTCAAAAGAAAGCTGGAGTAGCCATACTTACATCAGACAAACTAGACTTCAAATTAAGGGTTGTAACAAGAGATGAAGAAGGGCATTATATAATAATTACAGGGTCTATCCATCAGGAAGAGCTAACAATTATAAGTGTCTATGCGCCGAATACGGGAGCCCCCAAATATAAACAACAATTAACCACAAACATAAGTAACTTTATTGATAAGAATGTGGTAATTGCAGGGGACTTTAATACTCCACTGACAGTAATGGATAGATCATCTAGACACAGGATCAATAAAGAAACAAGGGCTCTGAATGATACATTGGATCAGATGGACTTGACAGATATATTTAGAACTCTGCATCCCAAAGCAACAGAATATACTTTATTCTCGAGTGCACATGGAACATTCCCCAAGATAGATCACATACTGGGTCACAAAACAGCCCTTCATAAGTATACAAGAATTGAGATCATACCATGCACACTTTCAGACCACAATGCTATGAAGCTTAAAATCCACCACAGGAAAAAGTCTGGAAAACCTCCAAAAGCATGGAGGTTAAAGAACACCCTAGTAAAGAATGACTGGGTCAACCAGGCAATTAGAGAAGAAATTTAAAAATATACGGAAACAAATGAAAATGAAAATACAACAATCCAAACGCTTTGGGATGCAGCGAAGGTAGTCCTGAGAGGAAAATACATTGCAATCCAGGCCTATCTCAAGAAACAAGAAAAATCCCAAGTACAAAATCTAACAGCACACCTAAAGGAAATAGAAGCAGAACAGCAAAGGCAGCCTAAACCCAGCAGAAGAAGAGAAATAATAAAGATCAGAGCAGAAATAAACAATATAGAATCTAAAAAAAACTGTAGAGCAGATCAATGAAACCAAGACTTGGTTTTTTGAAAAAATGAACAAAATTGACAAACCTCTAGCCAGGCTTCTCAAAAAGAAAAGGGAGATGACCCAAATAGATAAAATCATGTATGAAAATGGCAGGATTACAACCATTCCCTCAGAAACACAAGCAATCATCAGGGAATACTATGAAAAATTATATGCCCACAAACGGGACAACCTGGAAGAAATGGACAAACTCCTAAGCACCCACACACTTCCAAAACTCAAACAGGAAGAAATAGAAAA